GTTCAAACCCATCAGACACTCCTCAGAAGGAAGGTTGGGCAATCTACTTTCGTAGTGATAATGTCTTGGACACTCAAGTAGGGGTTGCTATGAGTCAGATCTGACCTGAAGGCAGTGAGTTGTGGTTTTTCCCTTATTCATTAGTCATTTCTTTTCTCCCTTCCTCCCCAGTTTATCCCTCAGTCAACTCAGCCCACACCACCAAAATGGTATGTGGTCTGAGACTATAAAGCAGAACAAGTCCCGTGTCCATATTGCTGCAGTTCACAGCTAAAGCAGATGAGATTCCTCATTATCAGCTGCTAAAGAGAAGTCCTTAGCAAATCATGACTCTATGGTTTCATGGTTCCCTTCTCCTGAGATTTCATATACTATCTGGTTAGAATAAACCAAATCATTAAGCCCCAAAACAAAACCCACTGTTGTCAAGTCAATTCTGACTCAGCAACAGATTAGAACTTCTCATCGGGTTTCTAAAGCTGTAAATCTTTACTGCCAAATCTTTTTCCCATGGAGCAGCTGGTGGGTTAGAACTACTGATTTTTTTTTTTTTTTTAATTTTTATTGTGATTTGGGTGAAAGATTACACAGCAAATTCATTTTCCATACAGCAGTTCATACACATTTTGTCTCATGACATTGATTCCAATTCCCCACAATGGAGCAGCTCTCTTCCCATTTCCTCCCTGTGGTGGTTAAGTTTGTGTGTCAACTTGGCTGGGCCTGGTTGAGTGGCTGGGCAGCTGAATGTAGTATTCCCCATGATGAGATTAGTAATCAACTCCATGGTGGAATCCACTGTGAGAAGCTGAGTAGCTGCCTTGGGGATATGGTCTGCTTCCTGTATATAAAGGAGAAGCCTTGGGGAATGGTCTCTAGCTTACGGCACACTTGAACCCTGCATGTAGCCTGCTCAGGAGGGTTGTTCAGCAGCCTGCTATGCTCTGCCGACCTCGGGACTTTCAATGGACTGGAATTAATGGCCTGCTGTGTGGTTTGGTAACACTGGGACTGTGCCATTTGATTTTCAACCTTGGGCTTGTCAGCCTCAGCAGCCAGTAGCTGCCTGAGTGAAGAGATGCCTCAAGCTTCAGTGGGCCAAGAGCAAGAGGTAGAGCTGATGTCCAAGGTAGAGGGGCTTTCACACAGCCCCTAGAGCCTGGCACTTTGAACTCACACTTAAAGTCTCCCAACTGTAAGAGAATAAACTCCTATTTTGTTCAAGACTTCCCATTTGTGGTATATTCTTGTCAGAGCAGCACTAGGTAACCAGAACACTCCCCATAGTTACATCTTCCCTGTGTCCTTCTCTCTTATGCACTCCTACCCCCTCAGCTATCTCCCTGTGCAAACACTGTACCTCTGTTCTCCCATGACTGATTGCTCCAAGGAGTGTATCTACCTGATGTAGCTGTTCATCCCATATGCCTGTCTATTGTTTGGCTGGAAACCACAAGAGTACATTCAATTCCAGATCTGAAGGATGGCAAGGGTTCTAGTCTCAAGGGTTTCACCAGGCTCTATCAGATCAGTAAACCTGGTCTTTTTTTTTTTTTAATGATTTTGAGTTTTGCAGAACTACCAATATTTTGTTAGCAGCCCAAGCAGTTAACCACTACATCATGAGGGCTCCTTAAATCATGCCATTATGAAGGGAAAAATGACATATCATCCCTTTCACTTTACCCTTTTCTAGGAAGACTAAGATCTCCTCTTCCTCCCTAAGCCACCTAACTTTGCATGGGTGGAGTGGGAAAATTCTCCCACTGCATTCCTTAATGAGAAAAAGGAAAAAATAGCTTTGAGAAATAATGTTTTGAACAGCACTCTTAGACTAGAACTACCACCATGACTGACAATACGTTAACCAATGACTTTGGCTGCTTGAGTAAATGAGCACTGGTAGGAAGAGAATATTTTAAAGGGAAACACAGAAAAGACTGGAAAAGAATCCTTGAGAGGAGCCTAGACTGGCCCAGTATTTCGATCTAAGCAGAGTTCCAAACTTAGAAGACGCTGCTCCCAATCTGGTATGTGTGTTCATTAAAGAAATACAAACAAACCCAAGTAGTATATATTTATAGCCAACTGCCTCTAGCTATAATTTTCCTCTGATGTGTGTGGGGTGTTCTGCTCTCAAATTAGACAAGAAGCACTGCCTTTCTAGGAGGAATCAAAGGAAATCATCCTTTCCTTTCTTCCACCTCTAGAAGTTCTCAAGATAATTTAAGAGACTGACACCAAAGGGCACTCACGTAAGCATTCGCTGGCACTCTCGGCAGTTGCTCTCCGCCATGGTCGGTCGTTGAAGAAGGGAAGGCATTTCTCACAGTCTACTCCATAGGTATTATGTTTGCAATTACACACCAGCTTGTCAAATTCATTCTTCTGACACTCGCTTGCATGTCCATTACATTTACACCTGGGAAGGAAAAGAGATAATTCTAAAGAATAAAGCTTCTACAAAGTTCCAGATATGGATGCCAAAAAATTTGTACACAGAGAACTGAAACCTAACTTAAGAACATTTTATCATTTAAAAAGTTTCATCATTTGTTAAGTGTAAACTGAGCAAGATTAAGTAATGGCCATTTGAGTTTGAGGTATGAAATAAAAAACCAATAAGCACCCCTACCCTCCAAAGGAGCTTTATTTAACAGGAAATGGGGCATTAGCTAGATATGAGAATAAAGTCCCTAATAATTTCTGGTAATGACTGTAGAATCACTTCTGA